AAAGGTCAGACTTCCCCAGGTTGGCCTACCTAACTGCAGCACATAGGTCATTCCAAGTGTTGCTAATGGGATAGTCTCAGGTCGGTGAATGTTTGCAGGGCTGCAGTAGAGTATTTGCAGGGCTGCAGTAGAGTATCCTGCTTTGAGCAGGGGGTTGGACTAGATGACCTCCTGAGGCCTCTTCCAACCCTAATCTTCTATGATTTGTGTGAGGTGGAGTTCATTTTTTGTCTTGCTGGGAGGTAAGGGAAACAGTGCTTCTGTTGTTGTGCTGGAAAATTTCACTGCTTCTGTCCTCAGTGGAAAACAGTTATCACCAGCACATCCTGACATGTAATTTGCCTCATTAATTACTGTCTAACATTGGCTTAGTGCTTATGGTGCATTTCTAAGGTACTTCAAGAGGGCTGTGGTTTTTTAAGGAAACATAATTCACAGATGGAAAATAAAACCCAAAACCTGGCAGTTTCTGGCACAAATTGAGTCAAGTTTTATAGTATATGAAAAAATACAGTCTGAACGGGGCTTAAAACCAGTTTGAAAGTGCCCATTGGGGAGGCAGTGCTTCCAGGACACAGGATTGCAAGCCAGGAGCCCTGGGGTTTGTTGCTGCCTTTGACTCACTCTGCGCCATCTCTGTTCTGCAGTGTAATGCGTGTTATCTTTGGATGGCAAGTCCTGCATGTTGGCAAATACAACATACTGCAATATAGTTTTGTAGAGTGTACAATGGATGTTTCTTCATAGGATAAAGAGTCAGCAGAAACTTGGTGACTCAGTCAAGGAAGCAATTCTGCCTTGTGAGGGAAAGAACTCACTTGGGAAACTGACAAAGCCTTTGGGCTTGTCTAGATGTCAAGTTGCTGTGCTCCAAGCTAGGGTGTGACTCTACAGTTCACCCGCTTGCCCTGCAGTCACATCCTGTGTGGACCCTGTTACAACGCAGTAAGATTGCTGCGCTGTAGATTCACACACTGGCTTATAGTACAGTAACTTGCCATGCGCACAAGCTGTAGACTTTAAGAAAATCAGCCTTTTGAAAGTTTAAGTGATTAGTTTTCCCAAGACAGAGAACTCTGAACTCCACCCATATAGTAAATTAGAAGAATTCAATGAGCTTTGTTACCCTTTTTATACATCATGTTACAAAATCCACCACACTATGTTATGTATGGAAAACAATATATTTTGTTCAAATAACAGGAAGCACAGAGTTAACAAAACTAATGAGCAAAAGTTTTGTATTACTCATGTATCATGAAAATCTAAGTTATTTAAACATTTATTGCAGCAATCAAATCTTCTGCTGAAAAGAGATAACTTATGTTGTTTATTTTCTCTCCTGCAAACTGCAGAGGTTAAAAGAACAAGTATGAGCCTGTGTTTTAGCAAAGAAGTCTCAGCTAGATATTAAATTTAGAAGTTTTATTCCAGCTAGGTCCTTATATGTAAAATCTGTTTTGTGCTGGTTAAACTTACTCTTTGCAGGTGGGCGTAACTGACACAAGATGTATGGCAGGTGGCTGGAGACATAGGGCTCTCTGCTTCTCTCCTTCTCAATGTATGTTCAGTCTCTCTTCATGGTTTGTTCTGGTCCTCATGTATTTTCAGACAATTCCACAGTTGGATTTGGTCACTGGAACCAGCAGGAATCCATGGACAACAGTCAGGTGCCCAAATAATCCTCTTGGGGTGCAGAGATGTTGTCTTCTCCACCAAAAGGGTAATTCTGCCTCTCTAAAGGGCTGATTTACCAGTTCTCAACTCTTGCTAACTAGACTCCGGGAGGAATTTGTGTTTCCTAGACTAGGTTTTTTCACTTTGCATTTACCTGTGTAGTTAAGTACAATCTAATTTTGCTGGGCCATCGGGCTGCAGGTTTTCCTTCACCTCCCATCTTCACTTTCACAGTTTCTTTTCTTCTGACTTCTTCTCCCTCTGCCAGAGTCCTGTTTCTGCTGCTTTCTGACCTGTTTTATCTTAATTCATTACCCTTTCTTGAACCGGAGACCTCTTTAAGCTGCTTTCTTCTTAAAAAAAACAAACAAAAACCCAAGTCCCCCCAAATCCTGTAGCTAATGAAGCATAAATGATAAGGTCTCTCTCTTTCTTTGTCTTCTATGGGAAGTTTCAGTAAATGGCCTTGTCATATTATATAGAGGATTCTTCTAGTCACATCTAAGAGTCCTCATTTAATATACTCATTATTCTGTCAAAAACAGACTGCCCTTTACTCCCTACTTTCTCCAGGTATGAATTAATTTCAGCTAAAATCACATTAAAACTTATTTCACCAGTTTTAAAGACATAATCCTATAGCAAAAAGTATTTCCCTCCTCCTCCCCAACCAACCCAATATTCCCATTCCTTGTGTCAGGTTTCAGAGTAACAGCCGTGTTAGTCTGTATTCGCGAAAAGAAAAGGAGTACTTGTGGCACCTTAGAGACTAACCAATTTATTTGAGCATGAGCTTTCGTGAGCTATAGCTCACTTCATCAGATGCATGATGAAGTGAGCTGTAGCTCACGAAAGCTCATGCTCAAATAAATTGGTTAGTCTCTAAGGTGCTACAAGTACTCCTTTTCTTTTTGCATTCCTTGTGTGTGTATGTGTCTGAACCAATGGTCTCCTACACTTAACTACTTACCTATCTTTCTCCAAAAAAAGAACAGGAGTACTTGTGGCACCTTGGAGACTAACAAATTTATTAGAGCATAAGCTTTTGTGAGCTATAGCTCACTTCATCGGATGCATAGAATGGAACATATATATATATATATATAAGTTGGAAGTTACCATACAAACTGTGAGAGGCTAATTAGTTAAGATGAGCTATTATCAGCAGGAGAAAAAAACTTTTATAGTGATAATCAAGATAGCCCATTTAGACAGTTGACAAGAAGGTGTGAGGATACTTAACTTAAGGAAATAGATTCAATATGTGTAATGACCCAGCCGCTCCCAGTCTCTACTCAAACCCAAGTTAATGGTATCTAGTTTGCATATTAATTCAAGCTCAGCAGTGTCTCATTGGAGTCTGTTTTTGAAGCTTTTCTGTTGCAAAATTGCCATTCTTAAATCTTTTACTGAGTAGCCACAGAGATTGAAGTGTTGTCCTACCGGTTTTTGAATGTTATGATCCCTGATATCAGATTTGTGTCCATTTATTCTTTTGTGTAGAGACTGTCCAGTTTGGCCAATGTACATGGCAGTGGGGCATTGCTGGCACATGATGGCATATATCACATTGGCAGATGTGCAGGTGAACGAGCCCCTGATGGCGTGGCTAATGTGATTAGGTCCTATGATGGTGTCACTTGAATAAATATGTGGACAGATTTCAGAGGAACAGCCGTGTTAGTCTGTATTCGCAAAAAGAAAAGGAGTACTTGTGGCACCTTAGAGACTAACCAATTTATTTGAGCATGAGCTTTCGTGAGCTACAGCTCACTTCTTGGCATCAGGCTTTGTTGCAAGGATAGGTTCCTGGGTTAGTGTTTTTGTTGTGTGATGTGTGGTTGCTGGTGAGTATATGCTTCAGGTTGGGGGGCTGTCTGTAAGCGAGGACTGGTGTGTCTCCCAAGATCTGTGAGCGTGAGGGATCATTTTTCAGGATAGGTTGTAAATCTTTGATGATGCGCTGGAGAGGTTTTAGTTGGGGGCTGAAGGTGACAGCTAGTGGCATTCTGTTATTTTCTTTGTTGGGCCTGTCCTGTAGTAGATGACTTCTGGGTACTCTTCTGGCTCTGTCAATCTGTTTTTTCACTTCAGCAGGTGGGTATTGTAGTTTTAAGAATGCTTGATAGAGATCTTGTAGGTGTTTGTCTCTGTCTGAGAGCTTGGAGCAAATGCGGTTGTATTTTAGAGCTTGGCTGTAGACAATGGATTGTGTGGTGTGTCCTGGATGGAAGCTGGAGGCATGTAGGTAAGCATAGTGGTCAGTAGTTTTCCGGTGTAGGTGGTGTTTATGTGACCATCACTTATTTGTACAGTAGTGTCCAGGAAATGGACCGCTTGTGTGGATTGGTCTCGGCTGAGGTTGATGGTGGGATGGAAATTGTTGAAATGATGGTGGAATTCCTCAAGGGCTTCTTTTCCATGTGTCCAGATGATGAAGATGTCAACAATGTAGTGCAAGTAGAGTAGAGGTGTTAGGGGACGAGAGCTAAGGAAGCTCTCCAGGTTTCCATCAGGCTCACTTTCTTCTTTCACTCAGTATAGCTGTAGATCACAGTAAAACTTGTAGAAAAGCATTAAAGCAAAACTACAGCCTAAACCCACAGAAACTTTGCCCCCAGGCTTTTAGCCTTCCCCTTCCACTAGCTACCCTAAGTCTTCTTGCTTGGCTCCCATCATATGTCATGGTCCCTCCTCTAGAGGAAAGAATGCTTCTCTGGTGTTTTTGGATGAGACAACAGAAAGGTCATGACCACGGATGGTCATTAATTGTTCCACGGCACTTTCAGTAAGAGGGCGAGGGTGTCTTTAATCTTTGTCCTATTTCAATTCAGGTAACTGCATTCAGGCTATGGATAGTCCCCCTGCCATTTCAGCCGGATCAAGGATTCACCTTCACTGCCTGCCCTAAGTAGAGATGTGATGTTATTGTATGGTAGTCAAGCTACCATGTGCCACCCTAGAAGTAGCTGCATCTCAACACTGGGTGGCCCACTCTGCTCTCACAGGTAGGGATGAGAGGATGGGGCCTTGACACAGGTTGAAGGGAATAAAGGAGAGAAGGGGGCTTGGGGCTTAGAAAGAGGATTACAAATGGGCACAGAGGACAAGCCTCAAACAAAGTATTTAATCCTGTCCTGAGCAGATTATTCCCGCGCCCGGAGCGCTGCGTTACACTTTAGCAGCCCTCGTGCAACTAGCTGGCCGCGCCCATGAAGTATTTTGGCTGGCAGGGGCCAGGCGCGCTGTGCCTGGGGCAAGGGGCGGTGCCGGTGTAATCAGCGCAGCCAGCTGATCGCCAGGCGCGCTAGCTCCGCCCCGGAGCAGCCGCTGTAGCTGAAGCAGGACACTTGGTCCGGAAGCGGAGAGAGGTGAGGCCCAGGCGTGGAAGCGGCCGGGCGCTCCCCGGCGCGGCGGGGGTGCGGGCTGGAGATGAGCAGCGAGCTGCTCACGCTGGACTGCCTCGTCCACGTCTTCTCCTACCTGGAGGCACCGGATCTGCTCCGCGCCGCGCGGGTGAACCAGGTACCCAGCTGGGGCTGGCCGCACCCGCGGCGGGGGGCGCCTCGGCTCTGCTCCAGCGCCCGCAGCCGCGCGTGTAGCGCAGGGAGACGCGGGCTCGTGTCGGTCGCACCCCGTTGGCAGGACACGGGTGGCGTCAGCCCAGCCCTGGGGGCCGCTGCACTGCCCATGCCCCTGGGGTGGGGGCTTCTCTCTTTCCCCAGACGCGCTGCACCAGGCTGGGCGAGCCCTGGCGCTGGAGGAATGAAAGGGCCTTTGCAAGCCCATTTCCTAGAGCTCCCGGGCCCACCAGAGCTGCCTTAGCGCTTCTTCCTACTCCCGGGGATGCCTTTTCCCACCAAAATAACACTGGTTCCTGCTTCAGAGTAGCAGCCCTGTTAGTCTCTATTCGCAAAAAGAAAAGGAGTACTTGTGGCACCTTAGAGACTAACCAAATTATATGAGCATAAGCTTTCTTGAGCTACAGCTCACTTCATCGGATGCAGTGGTTCCTGTTCTCTCTCTCTCCCCCCCCCCCCCCCCCCGAGTTCCCTGCCACTGCACCTGAGCACACCCTGCAGAGCAGTAGGGGAGCCTGCTTCACAAATAAAGTACCTGCGTGGCCCTGGGGGGTGTTTGTTTTGCCCTGACGTTTAGAAACCCCAGCAGAGCAGCCACCGGCACCAGCTGTCTGAGCTGTGAAATTGACACAGGCTGGAGCAGGGGTGCTGTCATTGAACCAAACTGTAAACCCTGTATATAATAAAAGAAGTACTTGTGGCACCCTAGAGACTAACAAATTTATTTGAGCATAAAGTTTTCGTGAGCTACAGCTCACTTCATCGGGCATCCGATGAAGTGAGCTGTAGTTCACAAAAGCTTATGCTCAAATAAATTAAAGTCTCTAAGGTGCCACAAGTACTCCCTTTCTTTTTGCAGATACAGACTAACACGGCTGCTACTCTGAAACCTATATATAATGGAAATCACTTAAAGCCAGGGGGTGCAGCAGCACCCTCCCCTCCCCACCAGTAGTTCCAGCACCTGCGGGCTGGAGGAGCACACACAAGTCTGGAGACAACCATCATCACTGCACATAAGTGTTCCCTTCCCACCCTTCGTGACCACTGGCAATGAGCCTCTCCCTTGAGCCAGCCTTTCTTTCACCTCTATCATCACCCCACTCTGATCCATGCTCAGGGCTGCAGCCCCAGCCTCTCTGAGATCACACCCCCATGAGCCTGCAGGTTTTCTCTTCTCTAGTCTCTGTCTGGCTGCCATGGCAGAAGAATTGCGTATAGCATGCTATCGCATCCAAACTCTCCATACTCCCTATGCTGCATCCAAGCCATCATGGGGGAAGCAGCTGTCGCCAGAGAGGTGGGAGGGTCAGGGCAGAGAATGAGGCAGAGGAGGATAAAAAATGGAGGGCAGCAACAGAAGCTGCTGCAGGATCTCTTAACCTCCCCTAGCAAACACCATCTTGTTTCTGCAATGTGGAGGCACATAGGCTCCTGCCTAGCCCCCATGCCTGCTCCTACTCTGTGGGGATGAGCAGATCTTGAGGAGGAAAATAGGGACTCGTTCATAGTGACACACAATGTCAGGTGCTCCTGCTAGTGAGCACAGCAGGGACCAAGTTTGGGATTGGGTGTACAGCCATTACAGCAGCTGTATGCCAGTTGGGGATCCCCTTTGGATTCTCCAGAATGACTCAAAGCAGCTAGACCAGGTGAGAAAGCTAGTCTGTTTTATTTCACACTTGACGTAAAGCTCTGCCCATCCCATGTGATCTGCAGTAATGGTTTATCAGTGATAACTGTAACCAAAAGACTGATCCTCTCCACTGGAATAGAGAGGATGCAATACCTACCAGGTAAAGGACAGCACTGGGAGCCAAACGATTTGGGCTGTTTGCCTTGCTATGCATAAAACTCCTGTCTAACTTTCAATAAATTGTTTAACTGTGCGCTGAGTTCCCCATTTAATATATGGAACTCAGACTTTACTACCTCACCGGAGAGTAGTGAGGCTAAATTCATTAATAAAAGTAAAGCACTTTATGATCTCTGGCTGGAAGATTCTATAAAATGCAAATTATTAGTAGCGTTATTTATTATAATGCAGTGCTTATTTTGCAAACAGTTTCTAAAAACTGCTTTTACACAGATGGCAGTTGGTTGGCAAACCACTGAAGCAAAGTTCAGGAGATTATTTTATTTGAGCCAGTTCAGAACAAGCACACTGAGTACAAAGTCTTGAGTAAACCCATCCTAGACGGAACTGGGAGCATGGGGAGAGAACAACAATGAAAAATATCAGCTTGACGTTTCAACTTCTCTGCTGTCAGGAATCCAGCTGCAGTGTGTAGTCCATCCTGCTGTTGGGAAATGCTCTTTCCAAATGAATGTTTATCACTTGCAGTGTGTTCAGAGTGCAGCTGTGCATATGCTTACTGGTATGAGCAGCCAGGATTGCATTAGACCCATCCTGCATACCTTTTAAACCTGATATATCAAATTGGCACTTTCCTTTATATATTTGAGGCCTCCTGGAGGAACCTGACAGGTACCTATGTTGAGATGTCACTCATCTTTTGAGAATCCAGTTGCCATGTTTTAGGTTGGCAAGAGATCAAGACTTTGCTTTGGTTGGCCCCAGGGTGTGGAATACTCTTTAAACAATATATAAGGGTGGGTGAGTTGGTTTGGTTTTTCCCCGAAGGCATGTGTTTGTTATGGCCACTGTTGGCCCCATATTTATAACCTCTTTTCCTCTATTTTTATCCTTGTGTCACAGGTCCTCGGTCTGTTCTTTTCATCTGCAGGTGGCAATAACCCATTTTAATGTTACAATATTAACCTGCTTTTCTGTTTTAGATTGCTTTTACTGTGCTACCTTAAATACCTCGATGGTGCAGGATGGCACTCTTTAAATAGTTATATAGCTTTTAGTATGGCGAAGTAAACAGACATACAGATAAAGCGTGTGTACACAAACACTGAAGGAAATGTCAACAAAATACAATCTTGAATAGTTATCTAGCACATTTCTGAATCAGTAGTATACTCCATATTACTGTGTTCTGTATGGCTTTAATATCCTACACTAAATGTGCAGTGGGTGGTATAAACTGAACTGTTAACAATCCTTTAAGATCTATACACTATCTATATCTGATCACATACATTCAGCTTATTGGATCTTGTAAAAATGAGTTTTTACTCTCCATTTGATGTTATTTCCGCTAGTAGCAAGTTATTTGGGTGTTTGAAGCTTAGATCTTTATTGATCTTTCACATCACAATGATTATTTTCAAATTTTGGGATTAAGCCTGAACTACTTAACTAAAAAGCTTGCTAGGCCAGTCCCTATACATATGTCCAAATTTACAAAACTTTGTTCATGATTTTAACTGTATAATTCCTATAAAAATCAATGTAAAACTATAACCAATTAATTGATTTGAAAATTCCCCCTTACTGTGTTGTGCTAAACATTCAAACAAAATGTAAACTTAGAGTGATGATTCAAAGAAATGGGGGTGCACGGCAGACCTAGAAAGATTTCCTGGACCCCTTCCCTCTCCAATGACTGGTGTTATCTTCTCTTTTCTGTCAGTCACAGTAACACTGAAAAGTCTGAAACTCAGCTTCCTTCATTCTAAAACGTCTCGTCTTTCTCCCTTCCCTTTGTAATAGGCATGGAACGAAGCCGCAGGCACAACTTCCCTATGGAGGTGAGTGCCCCTTTTAGTGTTTCAAGGAGTCCAGTCTGGGTATTGTAATAGCTGACAAGCTGCAAGGTGATCTTTTTGGGGTAGCGTGGGCACTGCCTGGGGTTCCCTGCTCAGTGTCCCGCATTGGCATTCTTTTATAGCCACCTGCCCGGTACTTTTGCTTTGCCTTTTTTAGTAGCCTTTGGTTCCCATTTTGGCACCTCCTTTCCTAAGAAGGTGGTCATTTAGTGTTCCTGTGGGTGGGCCCTTTCAGGGGCTTCATGGCTACCAAGTTCAAACAGACCAGTCCTGCAAGGTGCTGAACATCAATTTGCGTGCCCTCACCCCTCACTGACTCTGATGGGGACTGAGAGAACCCAGTCTCTCTTGGGGCATACACAGAATGAGAAACCTGGAAATACTTGTGACCCAAGAATTTAAACTACATAAAGTTGAAGAGCATACAACATGGTGGACAAAAGGCTCCCAGGCTTGATTGTATGGCATGTATATGTGTGTGCACACTGTTTTTCAACCACCATAGTGTTTGGAATCCATTCCCTTTGGCTGATATGAAACTATAGCCACGTCATACAAATACCACCTTATTTTAATAACTTTGTTACTGCTCTGCAATAAGAGCACCCCTCCAGTGCTTTGGACACCCTGGATAATCTTTTAAAAATACAGTAATGAATAAGGCAGACCCATCTGTTACCCCAGCAGCAACACAGTTGACTTATAACTTAATTGGCATCTGTGTGAGCCTATGGCCTCACTGCTATCTTCTAACTCTTATAGAGATTTTCCTTCTAAGTACATTGACAGGGCAGGGTGGGGAATAGGGTGACCAGATAGCAAGTGTGAAAAATCGAGACAGGGATGGGGGGTAATAGGCACCTATATAAGAAAAAGCCCTGAATATCGGGACTGTCCCCCTATAATATCAAGACATCTGGTCACCCTAGTGGGGAAGCTTCTGCTGCCACCAAGTGGGCTGTATCTATTCAGCAGACAAATACAGGCCTTTGGTCTACAGGCTGGCACCTTTCATTAGCATGTTTTCTTTTAAATTATTTACAAATAAATTAATAAATTCCAGAATTAGGAAAGAACAGATCAGTTCAGGTTCCGGGAGAGTTTACCGCTATTGGCTGGGAGCATGTTTACTATCACAGGGACATTTTCATTTTAGGTGACCATATTTTGAGCTTACAAACCTTGTTTTTGTACAGTCAGACTCTCCAAAGGTCTGGCACTCCCTTGTAGAGGTTGGGGACATCTTAGAGGAAAAACTGGTTCTCAGTCACATCTTTCCACAAGTGCCTTTATAGGGAGTAGAAATTGTGCATTCTGGGCCTGATCTTCTGCCTAATAAAGTCAGTGGAAAAGCACACAGACTCAAGTGCTGCTGAATCACACCCACTCTGGGGATTGCTGTAAGTCTCTCACTGACTGTCCGTACTTCAGGAAGTTACACTTTCACTCAAACAGTTCTAGAATGTTTTCTCCAATGCATTATATGCAACCAGGCTTTTTTTTTTTTTAAAAAAAAAAAACATTTTCAGCATGTTGCAGTGAGCAAAATAGTGGAGGCAGACAAATCGATGTTTGTACTCTCAATCCATGATGGCATTTCCTTGTTTCCATCTCTTCATATTTCATGATGGTAACTGCAGGGTCTTGTTTTGTGACTGGGGAAGAATTCCCTTTCTCCATTGCCACATCTTAAATTCCCCAAGTAAATAACAAAATCATGCTTTTATCCATGACAAATATTTGCATGTACCTAGCTAGTGACATCCAGCAAATGTGAATCGTTAAGGAAAAGTGTTGCAGAATGACCATCCCCTACTTTTAACTGAATAGTGTCACCTTTATGTTTTATAGAAGGATGTGCCTAGATCGTTGGACCTTTTGCAATATTTCCAACCTGACTCCGGGTATGCAGACATGGAAACAGTACTATCTCCACCGCTCCAAACTTGAGCATGAAATGGCATCAGGCCGGCCATCAGCTGATTATATATGTAGGTCCATGAGGGGGCATAAAGGTATGTGAGAAAACGGTAAAAAGAATGGTTACTTCTGTTGTTAGGTGTTTTGTACAAATGGATCCAACCCCTCATGGGATCTAGGCAGACAAATGCTTTATACATTAGCAATAAAGACTTTAGCAGCCTGAAAAATTGTTGTTCCCAGTTTGAACATGCATTTTTTTACATGCAAATCCCACAAATCCAAAAGCTGGAAAGTTTTACTGGTACAAAACCATGAGGAAAATCTTCAGATTCAGTTGAAGCACCTTGGAAAATTGGCTGTATGGTATGATGGGGTGTGCACATTCTCGGGAGAGCAGAGCCTGAATGTTTTAAAATTACTAGCTTCATCCCATAACATTTTGCAGAAAATGTCATCTTCAAAGACAGTGACATAAAACCAAATAAAAATCTCATCTGTTATTCCATGCTGCTTAAATAAATTCTCTCTTCACTGATAACTATGGCCAGATTTTTAAAGGGAGTTAGGTGCCTATCTTTATCTTCAGACACACACATACCTTTTAAAAATCTGGCCCTATATCCTCTGAGTTGCATGTCACCTTCAGTGAAGTCCAAATTAAATAGCACTCACACATAAAAATAAGACTGGACTCTGGATTCTACATACAAATAAAAGTTGAATCTAATTTATTCTATTCCCTTCAGATAGTGCAATTTACCCTTTAATTTCATGCTAACTCAAGCCATGAAGGCATCATATTATAAAACCAACTAGAATGCAAGTCTTGGAATACATCATATTTTCAAACAGTAAGATTGTCAAGCAAAGGGTTAACAGTTTTAACTAAGGCATTTTATTGCTACCCAGGTATTATTCTGAAGAGTTATTTGCTGAAATAAATATTGTTTAATCACCTCGTCAGCATCGGGAATAATTTGTGATTTATTTTCTCTCCTGCAGACGCTTTTGTTGTTGTTGTTGCATGAAAAGTTTTTTTTTATTTTGACTGAACAGGTTTTGGATAACAGCATGGGCTACGCTAATAAGTGAGTCATCACACTCATGAAAAATGGAACACTGTATCTACCGTTCCTCTGAATATTAGGAACAAACTACTAGGCCGTGTTTGAAAGTGCAGAATGATAACGTGCCAGGAAGCAATCCAGACCTCCCCAGATTTGCATCCCCATTCTGCTTTATGCCATTAGTCTCCTATTTAATGCTTTGCTGGATAGGGGCCTTACTGTTCCTGGTGGGCATGAAATTAGTTGACGGTCATACTGATATTTTTGTTGTATTTTATTATTGTAGGTAAAATAGTTGGTCTGGCTTATCTCTCAGACAACGAGCATGTGTTTGGCGCTGGAAAGCTGAGGTCTGTGGTTTGCACTGCATCTACTGATGGCACTATCCGAGCATGGCAGGTCCAAGAGGTGAGATGCACACTCCTTTACAAGTCCAGTGTCACAATCAAGAATAGTGATACCCTCATTTAAAAAACAGTTATGTATCCAACTCCTCTTACACAATTTGTTGTTCTAGAATAGCTGTAAATCATCAGAAGGTAATAGTTAAAATACAGGTCAAACATTGCCCATGCTTTTCAATTCAAACTGAGTGAACTATTCCAAAAAAACAGATGCCATAAGATGGCTAATATGTAAATAAGGAAGGGGGACTACAGATAACCCAGTTTTTGTTCCTAGTGTCATCTCTCTAATGTTATGCAGGGGGAAATCGTGGCATTTTTTAATGTTCAGAAGAGAACACCCACTAGTTTTAGTTTTGGGGCCATACCTAGATCTTAAATCTCTTTGCCACTCACACTGCATAGTGGCCCAACCTCATCCTTCCTTTTTATTTACATAAAAAAAAAAACCCTATTATTTAATTTCCTTGGCAAGAGCTAATTCAGCTTGACTTTTAGCAATTCTCACTTTATTCCTACATTTTTCTAACTTTTACAATATAGTTTTGTTTGCTGATAAGCCCCTTTTCCCGTTCCCTATAAGCTCTCTGCTTCCTCCTATGAACCTTTTTTGAGGTGGCTATTCATCTAGGGGGGGTCTGGAACCTTTCCCTACAAGTTTTGCAAAATACAGATTGTTTTTGTATAGTTGATTCGAAGAAATTTCAAGCCTCTTTCGGATTTAAGTCCTTGAGCTCTTCACTCCAACTGACTTAAAGTAATTTCCTTACTTTCCCCAAGTCTGCCCTTTGGAAATAAAAAAACAGAGTTGATGACATGGTTTGGGTTGTCCTTCATTTAATTTAAAGCGAATCAATTTGTGATCACTCAATCCAAGATTATTTCCTATGACCTGCTCTTCTGTGATGTCTCGCTACTTAACAAAATTAAGTCTAAAATTGCATCACCTCTTGTTGGTTCAGTGACTATTTGATGAAGACAACTGTCATCTATCACATCCAGGAATAACTGGGCCTTACAAGTATTATTAGTAGTATTTATTATCAGTAGTATTTATTCTACAATCTATATCAAGGAAGTTTAAAGTTTCCCATTATGACACAAGTCCGCAAAGTATTTCTCTAATAATACTGAAGTGATTGCTATCCATAACAGAGTCTGACTCTTCGAGTCTATAGCAGACCCCTAATACTATCCCAGGAGAACCTCCTTTTACAACCCTTTCCCAATGTGATTTTGACCCAAGCAGATTTTGTCTGTACTATCACTTCTTTAAGTTTACAGCTTGGTTGATGTACAATGCTACCCCACCATCTTTACCTTTATTCTTCTCTCTCTTAAACAGTACATAACCTTCAATACCTCTATTCCAGCCATGAGTGCTTTCCCACCACATTTCTATAATCCCTATTGCTGGTTTAACCTCCTGCACCAGTAGTACCAGTTCCTCCATTCTGTTGCCCAGATTCCTTGCATTTGTGTACAAGCACTTCAGTTGTTTCCCTCAGACCCTGGCTTCAGTACACTGGAGACTTCATGAGCCTCTTGCAACCTCATCTCCTAGTTTAAAGCCCTTTTTAGCAGTAGTGCCAGTCTTGATCACAAAAGATTAACACCCCGGGTACTCATGTGGAGTCCATCAGTTGGAAGCGACAGAGGAGGAGAGGGTCAAGAACAGGATAACTGAGTCATCAATTTAATGTGGCTGTGAAAAAGGCAAATGCGATCCTAGGATGTATTAGGAGAGGCATTTCCAGTAGAGACAAAGAAACAATGATGCCATTGTACAAAGTACTAGTAACACCTCGCTTGGGATACTGGATACAATTGTGGTCATCCACATTCAGGAAATAGGATGACTGGGGAATGGAGGGCGTATTTTATGACAGACTGGAAGAGCTTGGCTTATTTAGGCTAGCAAAAGTCTGAGAAGGGATGATTATCTATAAATATGTTGGGGGAGGAGGGGTAAATACCAGGGAGGCAAAGAGCTATTTAAGATAAAGGACAATGTTGGCACAAAAGCAATTGAATGTAAACTGTCCATGAACAAATTCAGGCTGAAATTTAGAAGGCTTCTAACCATCAGAGGAAAGAGGTTCTCGAACACTCTCCCAATAGGAGTTGTAGGAGCAAACAATTTGTTTTTAGGAGAGTCTGACATTTCCCTGCCATTGTGGGGGCCTCGGGCACTGGTGCAGGTTGGGCGCTCCTATTCTCTGCCTGTGGCACAGAATAGGCTAGTCCTTTAGTCTCATTTTGATTGTGGGGTTTAGCGTGTGGGTGTTGGATGGTTCCTTCCGGCCTTAAATTCTGACTAGAGATGCAGGCTTGTGGTCCATCCATAATGTTCAATATCTAATTCAAATCACAGCACAAAAACCATGGTATATTAATGAGATCAGACTTTTCTTCCCTGACTTCTCTGTCCACATTTGAGAGGAACAAAGAGATCTGGCAGAGTATGCAAGCAATTCATATTTCTAGTATTCTGTCCTATTACTGTGAAGGTTCTTCATGCATCAAAGCTCCATTGGCTTCATTTGAATAAGATCTTAGATCAGCATTTCTAAGAGCAAAAGTATTTGCTGTAGTTGCTTTGTCGGGGGGGGGGGGGACAGACTACACAATGTTTAGCCTGACAGTCTTGCCTAAAGGTTCATGTGAAATTTTGCAATAAGATTAAAGTGCCGTATGTGTTGATTTCTTTTTTTTTTTTTTTTTTTAAGGTAGTCACTGAATAAGCTTTAGGTTGGTGCCCCTGAAAAGAGCTATTGGGGAATATTACTTTTAGAGAAACTAGACTTGTTAAATGCAATCAAAATTTAAAATGGTAATATTAAGGTACTCCAGGACTGCACATTATCATGTACAGTTAGAAAATACACCTTAAATTGAACCAGTGTCGTTTAACTGGCCAAATGTAAAGCATTCAAGATCAACTATGAGAGACAGACCCTTGTAAACATGGTTGGGGAAATGAGTGCAATAATATGGCAAACTTTTAAGTTAGCTGATGCCAGTATTGGTAGTATTTCCCCCCTACAAACCTTTGGCGTGCACTGTTACACACCTACAATTTGCATGCCTATTAAATGGTAAATCGATGGACCGTGACCAATACCATCAATCATCTGACATGCACACCCATCTTCTGACTAATTTACAACACTGTTTGTTACTGTTGAGTTCAGCCCAGGATTTCTGTATCAGTTACAACAGGATAGAACTTGACCCATGGAAGCAAGCAGGTGCACCTCCGCTTGTATCAGTTGACCTGAACAGAATTATGCCAAAGGTGAACTGGGCCACTAGAATCAATTCTTGCAAAGATGACTTGTGGAAGTGTGCTTGGTCTCAATTTAATTCTTGTGATCATTAGACCACTTCAGAAACCACCATCCATTTTGGCAGAGTGAAATGCTACTGGCAGTTCCTGCTCAGGAGAGACCCGGGACTTGAGTACCAAAGGGTCCAAACTGAGATGAATCTGCATAGCAAGGTAGCAAATGTTGCTGTGTAGTCTGCCTGCATGTACATGTGGCTCTAAAATGTGCTTTTAATTCTCAATGCAGACCAGTTTGTGATGGTACCCTAAAGATGGTAGGGACAGTAAAAGAGAAAAGGAGAGAAGGAAGATTTAGGAACTATTGCAGATTCTTGCTATCAAGTGGGGGTGAAGGAGTGGAATTTTCCAGTCCTGTGGTCTGCAGTCATTGGGTGTGGGGAGAACAAGTGAGATTTGTGGTGCAAAGGAAACATCAGGTTATTTAAAATGTCATCTTTGGAAACAGCTTCTTGGCTGCAATTTAGGATTTTTGAAATACAATGGAGTAAGCTGAGTCATTAGTAGAATCCAGTGGGGGAAGAGAGTTCCAACAAGGAGAAAATAATGGCTATCTTGTTAAAGGAAAACTATTTCAACACACAGACTGGAAAATACCAAGGAAAAGGTTATTGAAATAGGTAATATCTTCAATGGTATATACATATGAAAACAAGCAACTGGGAAAAAGGGGATGCATTATTGATAACAATTTAAATCTATTTAAAATGCCCATAAGCTGGCCTCTAACTGCATATTTTTGTTCAGGGTACACAGATCTGGTCAAGTCCCTCCCAGGAAGTGCCATTTGTAAAGGTTATTACTGTCCCACAGTACAAACTAGCAATCAGCACAGACGCCTTTGGAACCATTAAAGTCTGGCATGGAGAAACTGGGGAAGAGCTTGCTGCATTCTCTACATCGTCGTCCTCGTCCAGTCTGGTTACCTACTCAGTGAACAATAAGCCCTTCCTAACTGTAAGTAAACCAAGGTGACTGTAAATTAATGACCACTTATCTAACAAGATCAGCTACACCTAGATATGTGCTCACTTAAAATAATGAGGAATACGCTTCTGATATGGTGCATTTTAAGCACTGGGAGATAGGAATTAAAGGTGCATAAAATTTATTGAAAGAGACTTCAGGTAAAATCTCAGCCCTATTGGAATCAATGGCAAAACTTCAATTAACTTCACTGAGGCCAGGATTTCATCCTAGGACAGTCTGTAAAGAATTAATTATTCTGCACTGGATGATCTATGATCTAGTGCTTCATCCAGTCTCATTTCAAAAGTCTTCAGGGATGGAACTTTAACCACTAGACTGTGTAGATGTGTCTCTTCCAAGGGCTTTAGTTCTCACAGCCTGGAGTTCTGATATTTAGCTTCAAATTTATTATTTTACTAACTTCATTCTTTTTCTGTTGATTATAGCACAGTCATGCTCCCTTGTGTTTATACACTTTGGAGACCATCATATCCCCTTCGAGTTGCTCCTTATCCACATTATATTTAGTTCTTCTAATCTTTCCTCCAAGCCCTCTTCCTTGGACTCCCCTGAGTTTGTCTACATCTTTTTGGAACAAAGTATCTAGAACACAGGAAAATGCCACATACTAAGTGCTTACACAAATGGTTGTAATGTACATTTTCCGCCTAGCTATTACAATGGAACAAGTACAGGCATGTGTGGTGTGGAAGTATGCCAGAGCAGGACAATAGAATTTGAGCTTATTTTGGATAGGAATAGAAAAAGGCTTTATTTATAGTTGTGTCTGTGGGGTTTATTTGGGAAGTGACTGTTTCAGCCCTCTGTGGAGTTAGTGCTGCTAGCGAGGGGATGAGTACTACACATTCCTGTATTTCTCATAACTGCTGGGAACAGGGTTAAGAGGACTGAATGTATATTATAGCAGTTCAAAATTACAGCATAGTGGCATTGTGCTACTGCAGTAGCACTTGATGGACTGGCGGAGAATTGAATTCCCACTTCAGAGACTGGAATCAAAGACGTTGAATCATTAGGAAATCTCTCTCCACTACCTTTTGTTTCTGCTGCTCCTGATATACAATACATAGAAGGTGTCTGATTCACCACATATAAGGAGGTGGTTCATCCTGTATGCCAACTGCTGTAAGAGCATCGGGAAACCATCTGTGATGACCCCTAAAAATGGACTCTGCTTTTTCTTTTTAAAAGCCTCAGTAGGAAGTTTCCTTTTCTTTTGAATGGACTATGTGGGGGATTCTGTGCTATGCACATCTTGATGTAAGATACACTTTAGTCTTCAAGCCTGGTGCTGATAGTACCACTCGAAGTTTAAATTCAAATGAGACAAAAATGCTTGATGTCATGAGCATGAAACCTTCGGATTCATATAAATTCTTTTTTTACAGAAGCTGGGATGTAACCATGTTTCTTACTCATCTTTTCTTTATTGTAGGTGGCTACTGCAGGAGGTGCTATCTATACGTTAGAAGTTCCTCATCTAAATCAGGTTTCATGTATTGCAGCATTTCAAAACTCTAGCATTGATTTATTACTTTGTTCACCGGACAAGCAATGGCTAGTTGCTGGATCTACTGAGAATGCAAATACATTTCCAAAGGTACAGTATGCTTCACATAAAATTGGAAACTGCATTTAAATATAGGGTCTCTACAACGTTTTAATATAGTGTCTTGCCTTCCTCTTGGATCTATTGGCATATCTTACTGACTAATGGACTCGGCAGCATTTATATACACTAGAACAATCTCTATCTCAAAGTAGGAAAATATTTATTCTTCCTTTGTTAGAATATTTTCCTAATTCACATAAAGAATTTGCCCTTCCTGAACGAAGTGCTCAATGTATTTTATCCCATAAATCTTAATGGCATTACACATAATTTATAATGCACCTTTCTCTGTTACAAAACACTCTGCTTGTAATGCAACAGGCTGAATTTGAATATCTAAAATGTTGCATTATATTTTTTGTGGTGCAAGTAGAGCCTATGTAGCAATTTTCCATATCTGCTAATAACTAATGTGAAAATTAGAAAAATAAAAATACCGTAGAACCTTTGCTGGAAGAGTAAACAAATAACTTGTTCTCAGTATTGGGCATCTGACGCACCTAGTGGGGTTACTGTCAAGCTCTTGATCTTTACAGAATGAGAAATCTTACAACTGAATTTCCTTGCTAACGGCTAGGTTCAGCTAAATTCCAACAAGACACTTTCTTCATCGGAATTTGTTGATTTGTCAAAACCTAAATGGTGTTTTTGGAGAGGGGTAGATTTTGACAAATTTATATTGGACTCCTGCCTGGTTTTCTGCCAGCTTGCCTACGCGGACTTCCCTGGATTCAGGACCCTGTATCTTCCAGGCCAGTTACTTCCCTCTATTGCCCAGCTTCTGAGAGCCCTGGCTGTAACAGGAGCTTGTGAATCAACACTCCCAGTCAGTTCACCAGGTAGGCTATAGAGGACCCAAGAACTCTGGCAGAGGCAGACAAACTGACCATTATTTTCAGTTTCACTGCTGCCCACCACTAAATAGCAGCAGTGAAACTGACAAGATGAGTAACTTGACCAGAATCTGGTCAATTTCACAACTGTTATTCAGTGATGGGCAGCAGTGAGACAATCATTACTTTCCTTAGCGGCTGTCAGGGTTTCTGGGGTCCCCATCTCCACTGCAGCCTACTAGATGGGCAGCCAGGGATCCTAGGGAGCACATTTCATTTTGGAAACACCATGTTTCAGTGTTTCTGAAACAAAATAATGTGGGATTTCAGTTCTGTGAAAATTTGAGGTTTTGGCATTTTTGTCCCAATTCCGGATACATTTTTGCAGAAAATGTTTCCCAACCAGCTTTGAATTCACCCTAGACTTGTATTTGTATAAGAGAGATTCTACCATAAATTAGATAACTTGAGCAACAACAAAGTTTCAACCGCCCTTGACAGATCAGATTATGTTTTAGAATGGACACTGAAAAGTTTACTAGAAACACCTCACAAAATAATAAACCAAGCCACAAGTCATTTGTGATCCTTCTTCGTGCAGAAAGTTCCACTTTCGGCAGTACTCTGCTAGCATCCAACACCCCCTACACCCTTTCCACATGCACATTTTAGCACAACTGCCTCTTGGACAAAAGGAGTGGAGTGGAATAGCAGAGAATGATGTCATTAAACATTCAGATACACTGGCAGAGCTGTGTAAGGAATCCAGCTCAGTCTATGGGCAGCTCTACGGTACTGGGCTAAATGGACCTAAGTTACGCAACTCCAGCTATGTGAATAATGTAGCTGGAGTCGACGTACCTTAGGTTGACTTATTGCTGTGTCTACACTGCACTTGGTCGACGGGAGAAACTCTCTCATCGACTTACCTTACGCTTCTGGTTCCAGTGGAGTCTACGGGAGAGTGATCAGTGGTTGATTTAGCGGGTTTTCACTAGACCCGCTAAACTGACCCTTGGTGGATCGATCACTGGCTGTCAATCCCCTGCTAAATGGAGGCAAGCTCTAAGGCTCAGCTATGCCAGGTCCTATCCCATACTTTCACAAGCATCAAACTCACATTTTTCATTAAGACTGTGATGACTTTTAATAAACCATCGAAAGATAAACTTCAATAAATCTGATTTAGCAAAAAGCTTTTCTTTATGGTAAAAATCCTTAGCAAGAATTATGAAGTCTTTAAGGTTTTTTCATAGATGGCACTGCAGACTGAATAGTATATTTGTCTTTGTTTTTCCCTACACCAGATGTTTTATACAGATTGCTTGATTAACCCAGTGGATGAACCACCCATATCTAGTTCTATGCCTGTCAACAATTGTGCTGTTGTCTGCTGGTTACCAAAAGCACCAGCAAGAATAGCAGTAATGCACCAAGATCGCATGGCTGTTCAAAGGAACATCATAGTGTTTGATCTAGCTGTCAAAAAGTCTAAATATAAAACGGAAGTTCTAGGTATGTTTTGATAACTATTGCCTATAAACACTTCATAGCAGAGAAATAATTTTATTCCATTTGTGGTTTTGTTTTTTTCAGTAGTAATCACAAATGTCTACTATTATAGTTCAGGATACAAAACTCTTTCCAAAACATTTTATTTTGGGGATGGAATTTTCTATACTTGGTGTCTCAAGATTTTTTTTAAATGTGGGTAAAATCCATTGTTACTTGTTATAGGAGACTGGAAAAAATAAGTTGCATTTGTTGCAGCTGTTCTTCAGAAACTATGCTAATTGGCTTCTGGTTGCAGTTTGAGGTGTTTGAAATTGATCTGTAAAGCTGTGCATAGCTTGTGTCCTTACTGAAGCCAACAATTTCCTTATGTACTGTCCCAGCAGTCAAGCTCAGCTAGGGCACACCGACACACATATCTAGGACTACTCAACTCTGGAAACAATCACTAGCACTGCTCCAACAGAGCCAGCTGACCATTGGGGTATAGTGGCAGGTTCCCCTTTGTTCTCAAGAAGTTACTTAAGGAGTGTAGAGAGGTTTTTTTTTCCACCCTGTATCCCTTGCAGAATGCAAAAGGATAAGAGGCTAAATTAAAATATACACACACAGTCCCTAGTGGTTAGAAAGTGATTTCCAAAGTCAAGGGACCCTCATCGAGAACACAAAGCCTGCAGCCCCTTATGTAAAAATAGGGCTCCTGTTCAACTGCTTCTCCTGACTATGTAGCTCTATCACAAAGAGAGGGAGACCTATCATGGGATGGTAGAGGTAGATCATGGAAAAGAACATTGATATCATGCTCATAATAAGGAGGCCCCAGCTGTCTGGGCACCAGAGAAGGGGTTTCTTTTTAAAAATAGATATATTGCTATAGATATATATATCTAAACTCTTTATACTGCAGATTGTAATAGAAGTGATTTTAGAGTTGAAATGTAATCTTTGGAGTATGTGTGTTTACAAGTACTGTATTTTCTTTATAAAAGCTCAACAGATTGCAAGTTTCACACTGCCACAAAGCACTTGGCCTACAACAATTCTCATGGAAGGGCACGGAACAGAAACAATTCTTCTAGGATGTGGATCAAACTTGAAACTATATTCAATTTTTGGGACTCAATTAGAAGCTTTCCAGCATCACAACAATACAATCACTTCAATATGGGTGGTATGTGCCTCAACTGTTTAATACTAATTTTTTTTGCATTGTTTACTGTACTTTAACTACAGTATTTTATTTTAAATTGGAAGGATTCTTTTCATGTTGTCACATCATCTTTGGATCTCTCACTCCGTGTTTACACATGGAAAAAAGTAAACAAAATCTCTTCACTGACAAGTCGCTATTACTTACTAGGGGGAACCCACAGATGGTCAAGGTAAGAAAGCTCAATTGGTAACTAGATAAACCTAGCAAGTTGTGATATAAATCAAGCCTTTGTTTATTATATGATTAATTTTCTTCCACTTACAAAAACATGTGAATAACTCAATACATTGAAAGCTGAACTGACATTGGCAATTGACATGAGGCAGATTTTCTTTGAAGACAGCAGCAGTGCCCCCCATCAAACTAAAATGACCTTTTTAGGAATAAGTTACCCTGCTGTTCAAACAGCTGTGGAAGATACATCACCTTCAGTCATTCAAGCCTTTTTATATGTAAAAAAATTTCTAGTGAACTGAGCATGTGGTTCTTGTATAGTATTCTTTTGTAAAGTCAATTTCTGCTGTAAACCATCTGTCAAAGTCACACCTTTATTTTTCAGTAAGTTGTATCTATGTTTTGAGAAGCTGCAGTGTAATGGAGTTTAAATTCCAGGCAGAGCTTATGCAACATACTGCCAAGGCAATATTCAGGCTCTCCTCCTGCCACACTCTGAAAGTTTAGGGTACCTAAGTGCTTTGGGCTGCTAGATTAAAATAATATTGTTTTTAAAGTTTAAACACATTAATTGTAAAACTAGCTCCTTGTTAAAAGGTTTTCAATTTAACTTGTTCTGTTCACAATTTTTCCCGCAACAGGGGCTTTACAGATGTGGCCTGTGACAACATCAGCATCGTAGGTGTGGTAGCTGAAAGTGACGAAACAAGTATTTTAAGAGCATATTCCTTTAACCTGTAAATGGAGAAACATTTAATAGTCCTTCATTTTAGCTGCAGTTGTGGGTGTTTCTTAGCTAGAGGTGTTCCCTTTGAGCAATATACTGTGATAAGCTTTGTGAACACCCCCCTTTGAATAGAAGAGATGCTGATGAGCACCATGAAGCTAGGTCCCCTCACTCAGAAACCATCAGCTGTGGGGTCAAGTAAAAGCCTGTGTGGTAGCCATAAAAATAATGCTACCACCACATAGCATATATACTGAAGTTTAACCACAATGTCTAGAGATCATACCTAAGCTGTACTTCATCTAGTACAATTGTGGAATAAAAATAGTCCTTTAAAATACACTAATTTCAGTGATGCCATGGCTATTTATATTATAGCCTTTAGAATGCAGTATCTCAATAAGTAAACTTCACTTTCCATTATGAAAATTTAGGTACACTTACCCTAAATAAAGAGTCATACAACAGTTTGAAATTTATTGGCTCTGCAGCAAAGTACAATTAGGCTCATAGGAAATACTCAATACATGCTTTAATGCAAAAAAATAGAGGAAGGAAACAATTCTTGGTCAGTATAGTGTGGTTCAGTGCAACATCTCCTGGCATGGTGTTTTATCCAGAAGATGTATGATACTCTGTCAAGTACTGAAGTACATACTAACTACCCCTAAGTAACATAGGAGACATCTTTTCCACACCTGCAAGATTTAGACCAACATGAAGTCTTGAAAAAAGTACATAACTCTGCTATACATTTATATTGCAATGGTGTAGTCACAGAACAGTTTGTTCTTTCACACATCTACAGGAAAGGACCCCTATACTTCCTTCCATTGCTTGTGATTCATTCAACATTATTTGTTTTTAAGCTGGCTGCAAGTCTGCCCTTAAGAAAACCATTTTAGATGTTTAATCATGGATAAAGAGTTTTAAAGCTTGATTTTATTCATCTTATAGAAAATCTGAGTTGTCATTAGGAACCTGAGACTTTCATAAGCATTGAGTACTTTAAGAGGTACATCCCTCACTTCTAATATCATTAAAAGTCACCTGAATCAATATACCTTAACTCTCTCATTCAGTGCTGGAAAATCTTAGCTAATCTTGAAAGGCAGGAGAGAGAGACTCTTACCATATTACATCACTCACTTTTACTAAAAGAGCAAATAGTGTGTTCATTTGTCCTCAAAAGCAACACTATACTGCTACAACCTTGAGGTTAGTACTGTACATGGGTTGTCAGAATGAGTCTGTTGCTGCCACACTTACTTTCATTAAAACTTATGATCAAATATGTTTGGCTTACACCAGTTTTTTCTTCACATATCAAAGCTGCAGAAGTTTAGACTGAGCCAAAATGGTCCTGTTGTAATAATAAAGCCCTAAGAAAGGCAGCAGGTTGTATAGTTAACTCCTTGTGAGCAAAATCCCTGCCCTAAAACTATGCAACCTACTACCTCTTCCTAGGAGCCCACTGTTTCTTCTGCAGTTCTTCTATTTAGCAGCTGCACTGTGAACTCAGCTGTTAACTTTTATTGCAGTTTCTTTTGACTTTGTTTTCAGACATACATATACTGTGACTTTTACATTCATTTATATTTCCAGATAACCTCAGCTTTATTTCACTATATTTGGTAATAAGTCAGGAATGGTGGATCAGTTACAGAAGTTGTCTCTAGACTAAAAACCTTGATGACTGATAATTAAGGTGAATCTGAAGCAGTATAAGTCCACTACCACTTGTTCAGTCAGAACAGCCCCTAAAATTAATCACTTATCAGGTAGCTCCTTCTCCCACACAATAAACAAGTCAGGGTTTAACCATTTTAGGCAGTGAAAGAACAAGTTTGAGCCTATGCCATTTAAAAAATAAAATGTAACCAGCTCAGATTTATTGGGTAAAGAAAACCTTCTGGGGCTCATAATCCACCAGGATGGTTAAAACAGGCATCAGGGGATCATAGCCATCCTACACTCTGATGGGGATTACCCTCCCATTTAGTAAGGTGCAAAGAAAAAGTGGAGAACCACTAACTGAATCTCACTCCCTAGCCTTGGGGTGGGGGAGAAGAAGTGGAGAGAGACAGTGAAATGTTTATACAAGATAGTACTGCTGAAGTCATTTTCTCACAAATCAGTTTACGGGCTACATGCTATCAGGGCACCCATGAATTTTGAAACTTGTGTGTGACTGTCTGACCACTTTAAGTCAAGATTAGTAATGTAACAGAACACATTTGAAAGACCATTTGTATATAAACACATCACTCACCTTTGAAAAAAAATTCAGCACAGTAGCAAAATCCAATGTTAGGGTGTGCCACATTAGCATTTAGTGCTATAAATCCAGCCACTCAAATCACCTGAAAGTCCACTCACCAACTGTAAACTCAGGATGCTCAACTAGCATGCAAAGGAACTGCAGATTTTTTTTTACTCCTCGGGGAAGGCAATAGATTGTATAGTTATCTCCTGAACAGGGTAAAATAACTACCCTACAACTATACAATCTACTACCTCACTCCAATAGAGAAATTTGTACTTAACAGTCCTAGTTTCAGGAAATATAGCTTAGCTGCACAGCTATTCAGCTTTGAACAAGTTGTATCTTATGGCACCAATTACCACTACTAGTATTTTGCTTAATTAGAAATGCAAGTTTTAGTTTTTAAATTACCCCATGCAATATACAGTTAAGATGAAATCTATTCTTCCATACCTGTGTTTCTCCCCTAAAGAGAATTAAAAAAAAAATATCTAACTTGAAAATCAGAATGGTAAAGAAACTGACTTTCCTGGGATAAACAAATCCAGACATACATATCAACTCTGCTATGCTACAGAAATGTATTTCCTCTGCCCACAAGCCCTTTGACCTAGAGAAGGTCTGAAGAACTGGACAATAAACTTTAAAGCAAAAGATCTGACATTGCTGATTTTCTGCTGCTTTAGGAAAGACAGTAGATTGTATAGTTATCTCCCAGTTGTGGGTATGACCCTAAAACTATACAACCTACTACCTCATCCCACAGTGCAGGCATCTTCTTAGTTCAGATGTAGAGGGAATGTTGTTTTACTAAAGACAAGTTAGCTACAAGACAGCATCTATATTATACATAACAGTTTACCAGAGAGAAAGTTTCCCCATGCAACAAGTTACTTAGAAAGATTTTGATCTCAGACTTTTTTAAAAATTATACCAACCATTGGGGCTCTCAAGACTTCACCACTGGATAGACAGCAAGATGCAGAGCAAGAAAGGTATCTAAAACTCAATTTTCTTTTAAAAATGGGTTAAATTACAATCTTCTTCCATAGATGTAATCTCAAATCTGAAAGTAGAACAAAGACAGTATCAGAAATCTTACATACAGACCTACATCACTTATTCCTCTTGTGAATTAACAGTAACAGTGAAACCTAAATACCATGGCTTTCTTCAGCCAATGTTTCTAGTTGTACCAGTGCAAGGGCTTAATGCCTATAAACTAGACCAAATACAAAATGTAATACCATGAACTACCAGTGTTTTAAACTGATTTAGCGTATGGCAGTTAAATGCTAACTTTAAATCTAACAGTACAAAAGTGCTACTTTGCAGTGTATCAGTCAGCAAATTGTTACCACAGATCTTAGATTAACTTCTTGGGGGCAGAGACTACCTTGATGTACAGCATGCAGCACAATACTGCTTTGATCCTGATTGGGCCCCTCTAGGCTCTACAATATGAATTCAACTTGTTTCTCCAAAAGCAACTTAAAATGTACTTAACTTTTAAAAAAGTTAACAAGATGTACTAATTCAGTCAGATGTAAATTTAAAGGCAGTTTCCACACTAGCATCCGATGAAGTGAGCTGAAGCTCACGAAAGCTTATGCTCAAATAGTCTCTAAAGTGCCACAAGTACTCCTTTTCTTTTTACTAGCACTTCAGTTGACTATGATCCTGAACAGGGCGGGGTGGGGACGGGACCTAAATCTAAGCGTGGGCCAGGCAGATACGTATGATTTAGAATCCACTCCTTGGCAAAGGTAGCTTGAAAACAGGGAATGGGGGAGGAAAGCTGATTTATACTTGGAAAAATAATTAACAGCCTGAAATAAGTATTTAGCAGTGAAGCTTTCTAAACAGTTCAAATACTATGCATGTACTAGATTTTCTTCACAATTCTACTTCAGACAAGTCTTCAAACAAAGCCTTAATACAACCAGTGATCCAGTGCATTTACACACAAACGGATGACATTCCTCCATGAACAGCAAACAAAAGCAAAAAAATGTTTCCAAAATTCTTCAATTCTGTACCTTCATTTGTACAAAATACTGACAATGAATTTTAGTGGATTGCTTTTAAGATTCTGCCATGGATTAGCATAAACCCCAGACCTGCTTTCATGAACCTTATGCCTATCATAATTTAATTTTTTTAAGTATTCATTGCACAGATGGGCATAAGCTGTTGGTCCTAATTCCCAAAACAGAAATAAATTTGAACAGTAGCATTGGAACAAGATCAGAAGCTATTATACAGATTTGGCACAACCTTATTTAGATTAGCTCAGGGTAGGCAAAGATCCTGGAGTCAGATGTGAAATAAAAAAAATACGTGCAGAAAGACTAAAAATCTTTTCATGAGATTCTTTGCTTTTCCATATGAGTTTTCACTAGCAAAGCAGAGAGCTGTGCAAAGGTAACTCATATCCAAGACACAGAGTCTGCTGATGCCTTCTCTGTGCAGTGCGGTGAACTATGTCAGATTAAGCCAAACAGGTGTAAGCCAAAGCTGTTCCTCTATCACTCACTGAGACAGTGAATCCAGTGGGTTTAATGAAATCCAAGATGCATAACAAATCTGCAAAAGCACAGGTCTAAATTTCTACACTACACCCTTAAAATCCAAAGTTATTTATAGTTTTAAATGTGTCTAAAATTGTCTGTAACAAGTGTTTACATGGCAGCAACATAGCATACCAAAAACACAAAGTATAAAGACAGTAAAACTGCATTACTAGAAGCCCATTGCTCTAACTCTCATACATAAAGTAGACTGTTTTTGGAAGTTTATATTGTAAATGTTGTTGAAACCAGTGTGGCTTTTTCATAATTTTGAATTACAGAGGTTAAGACAACATATTGGAAACCATAAAAAGCATGCAAGGCTCTGCCTTAGTTTTACTTCTGAAGCTACAAAATTCCCATATTAACTTGTTACAAGAAATTGGGAGGCTGTAAATCATTTCCCCTCTCCATCACCTTTTCCATCACTAGACCAGCTTGCTGTTCCTCAATATACAAGTGCCTGTAGTTGCTTTCAACTCAATGTAAGAAAACACATTTCCCCCATACAGGCACTTTTTGGTATTAAGTTTAAGAGCAGACAAACCATACCTGAACAAGGATGTAATGAAATTAAACTCTACTAACCCTGTTTTATCTTTCTAATATAGTACTTTTATAGTGCAGTCTGTCATAGGGTCTTAAAACATTTTAATGAAATCTCAAATACCAGTCTGAGTACGTTCAGTCCTCATTTTACCAATGAGGAAAATGTCACTGGTCATCATACAGCACGCCAGAGTGGGAAGCAGACTCAGTGTGACACCAGGTCTTATAGTCTGTCCATCAGATTATGCTTAAAGATAATGGCTGTTGATTACATGCTGCAATAACTAGATGGTCAGGCTACCATCACTCATTTTCTTCACTGTTTTGAGCTATAAATTTAATCCAACATATCTCAGTGCTCACTTCCATCCGAATGGAAAAAGCATCCTATGTTTGTTACATTATCCAGTTGTGAAAATAAATATGCATCACTCAAGATATTGAAGTCCATTTTTTCAAAATGATTGAAAATGGGTTTCTGCGGCCTTTAAATCTTAATAAAGTTTATTCTTAATGAAAAAAACCTGTCTTTTGGACTATAATTTATAAACAGGTATCTGAAGTTATTTAAAGGATTTCTCTGCTTTCTAGAAGCCCAGCACCTTTTAATCCTCTGATGGGTGAAGTTGTGGATTAATTCTCAGTTTTTATTCCAAAAAAGTTTCTATAAATTCCAATTTCTTTTTCCTAGGGAGAAACTTAGAATTTACTATTCCTGACTGGAACTACTGTGGTATTTTTATAGAGCAGTGCAATACAGAATTGATGACTTCCTCTTCCCCGAACTAGATGAAAGAATTAAATAGAGAATTTTTGTATTTTGGAAGTTTAGCAAACATAACTTCCAGAAAATGACCACATTTTAAAATATCTCAAGAAGTTTTATAGCAGATGTCTTTATGTATGTTTATAAAATGTAGGCAGACTAAGAACCCACTGGAACAAAATTAAAGTTCTAAAAAAAGAATAATCAGGTGTTTGGAATTTCAATTTGTATTTTTACAGTTAGTGGTTACCTCAGCTTGAGATGCACAAGTAGTAAATGCCTACAGTACAAGCAGTCACACCTGTAAGTTTTGCATTCTACAGTCAACTAGTGATTGTCACATTTAGTTATAGTATATCTTAAATTCATTGAAATAAGTGAAATGCAAGTTCCACATGTCTTAATCTTCAACTACAGAAGTGAAGAAGTATGGTACTGTACTGAATAAGCAAGATAAAATTGATTCATTTATATTTTCATATAGGACCAACAGGGTGCAAAGGGCAAGTTTACTGCTCATTACTCTGCTCCAATGGGAGTTGTCTGTGGTCACCAGGTGCTGCTTCTCCCCTGCATACAACTTCACCAGGTGGTGATCCAGGACCATCTACCAAAGTACCAGACCTCCCCATTCCAGCTGCAGTAGTCGGCAGAAATGAATTCAGGGCATCCTAGTCTCCACCAGACTAGCAGGATTCCCTATAGAGGACAGAGGTCTAAGCTTCCAATCTGGGCTTTAATTTCAGTCCCAAATCTCCTGTAGAGAAGTAGCAGCTCTACAGTACATTACAACCTCAGAATTAAACACCAGAGTTATGAACTGACCAGTCACCCACACTCCTCATTTGCACACTTCTGGTTCCAATCAGGCAGAAGCAGAGGGAGGGAAAAGCAAATACAATGCAGTACACTGTGTTAAATGTAAACAACTAAAAAATAAAGGGAAAACTGCATTTTTCTTCTGCATAGTACAGTTTCAAAGCAGTATTAAGTCAATGTTCAGTTGTAAGCTTGAAAGAACCCTAACGTTTTGTTCCTTTACTAACATTTCAGAGTAATGAACAGCCTCCATTCCCAAGGTGTTCATAGCTACAGTAGAACCCGAGTTGGGCTACCTACAAATCCAGCCACTCTTCCCAATGCTGCTGGGACTCATTTGTACACCAGGTCCCACCTGACTACCTTCAGATTGCTTCTGTTATTATTGGGTCTTTTTCTTTCTTTTTTTTTTTTAAACGTGATCATCATTCTGCAACTATTTTTCACTGAGCTTTCAGAATGCATTTAAAATTCTAATACACTATAATATACTGACTAACCTGTGTGGGGAATTGTTCATGACCATTATGAGACTTGCTAAAATGTGTAGGCTTAAGTTTTAAAAAGATGAATTATTTGCTTATATGTTATTTCTCTTTTGTTTGATCTGTGTCTTACTACATTACAACATAAGACACAAATAGCTCATGCCCACTAACACATTCTCCAACTGTGAAAGAAGGGAAACTGGCCCCAGGAAATGGTTGCTAGTGGATTTTCGTCTATTACAATTCTGGAGATGACAAGGTATACAAATTTGCAAGAAAAAATTCTAGTGAAGTTCCATTTCATCTTATCTAGGTCCTTGGAATGGTGACACTGTTCTGTTTCCATATTCAATTTTCAGCTCAGGAGTAGCAGTTACTAAAGATGACTGAGCAGTCGTTGTAGGAGCTTACCAGCAAACTATAAAAACCCGTTAGCTGTGAGACGGATACAGCTTTAATACACTACAAAATGACAGACTATTCTGATCCAAATTTTCTCTAAAGGCAAAGGAATAAAAATTTTAACTCTGCAAGACAGCACACAACCATAGTTGTAGGCAACCTGTTAAAGTACAAGTTTCTCAATTTAAATCAAAGCTCCAATACTTTTTTTTTTTTTTTTTTTGGAAAATACAAAGGAGAAAACTGAAGATTCTAAGCATGGTGGGAAAATTTTCAATAACTTTTTAAAATTTAAATTTTTATTTGCAGGGTGCTAGTTCTTTACTTTCATCCCATTTTATAGTCAAACTACTGAAGTAGAGGGGTTTTTTACTTGTTTAATGATTTTTCTTCTTATAAATTTTAAACTTAAAATGGTCATCTATACTAAACACATGTCTAGGGTCACTAATATCCTCACTGTAAAAGCATCAGAAACAAACAAAATCAGCAAGTAGCCCCAGCTAAATTTGCAGCTACTCCACCTTCTGATACAGTATATTGAACTTCCACAAATCAAGAAAGCTAAAATGCCCCAACAAGGATATACTTTATCAGAGTTTGCAATTTGAAATTAAGGGGACTTAGGCAATGAAGGGTGCAATTTTCAGAGCACAACTATGGGCTTTCGTGCCTAAACTTAGGCTTGCTTTTTTTTTAAATGTACTGAAAGTCTAAACTTTGTTAACACTGACCATTTTGCTTTGTAGGAACAGAGTTTACGCCATTAGGAGAAGAACTGAATAAAAATAGTTTTAGCCCTCAATAATCCAAACATACTTAACTTTAAGCCTGAATAGTCCCACTAAAGACAACTGGACTATACATGGTGAATATAGTTATGTATTTACTTACATGGTGAATATAGTTATGTATTTACTTCAGTGTTTACAAGATCAGAACAATAATTTTCACTTTTTTGCTGTAGTTAATTTTGTACTACTCAAAATACTCTGCAACTACTGGCTCCTTACAATATTTATAATGTAGCATATGAATTTTAAATTTCAATAGCACAAGTTTTCAAATGGATTTACAAAGCCTAAATCTGATTTAAATCAATGGTTCAAAGTGACTGTATCAAAGCATTTTACATTACTTCTAATTTCAGTAAATGATTGCAAACAGGAATATCAGATATTGAGGTCTGTGTTTTTAAGAACTGAGGGGTACCTGCCAAGAGTACTAGACATGTTTGGAGATAAAAGATTTACAAAAACAAAATTAGAAAGTGACTACTGCCTACTGTCACCAACAAACTTTAAAAAGCTGTTAACTTCAGTGTATTACTTCTAGGGTAGTAAACAATCTGCTATAGATTGTTATAGTAAACAGCATGCTATAGATCAAATCTCTTCAGACAAGATGATACATTAACATAAATATCGGTAATAACTTAATGTACAAGTGATAGTGCTATGGTCAGAGAAGTACACAACACACCCTGATGCCCAAATATTTGCTTAGTTTACTTAAAGACAATATAATCGAGATTTGAACAACGAATCTTGGAGTCCTGCCTTCTAATCAAACAGCTCTGCCAGTAACTTGCTGTGTAACTTTCAAGTCATTTAATCTGTATTTCATTTTACCATCTGTAAAACAGATGCAAGTGTTTACCTTCCTCCAGAGGTTGAAACCGTTTTACATACATGAAGGGCCTTGAAGCCATAGATTTGTCAAGCAACACAACAGTAAGCCTGCAAGCAGCAATCTAGTTTTATCTGCTGTATCAAAGTCACCAGCTACTCCTAACTCCAAGACCATAAACTATTGAAGGTAGGTTATGTGTACAGCAGAAAAACCAATTAGATATCAGGTTGAGCATGCAGTGCTGATGCTGGAACAAACATTTTAATCTGGAAACAAAAATGTTTGACATAACTGAAATAAAAGTATAGAACAAAGCACTGTTTCTTCTGACTACAACCACTCCGAACTGTTGCCCAATTTTTACATAAACATTGCTGATCTCACTATCTTTTCGAATCAACTGCTCTAGTAATACAGTCTTCCACTGAAGATTGCCATTTCCTTTTTTAGTTAGCTGAAGAACTACAGCATTCTGAATGACTGTATTTCACAGAACAATTAGAGTGCCAGTTATTTATTTCCCCTGAAATGTCTGTTTCATAATGCATGTGTTTCCATTATGATATTATGTACTCCCAGGATGGGGAATGTTTACTTTATCATATCAAGTATCAATTGTTTACTTCTGATATTTAATTCCCCACCTGATATGCTTTTCAGAGGGTGGCTTATTAAGAGAGAAATTTAATAAAAGGAAAAGCATAAGTTGGACTTATGCCTGAATCAAAATTAAGGTGTCATTCTTTTAAAAGACAATGTAACAAGATGTCCACATGCATCCTTGTTTTCCTACTTCATTCCCTTGTGTTTTTCTGTGAGGATTAACACCCGAGACAAATAGTTGATTTGTTCCCATTAACAGAGCAGTTGTCTCACTCCTATGTTAATTTCAGGTGTCAATATAAACTGATTAAAGGACTGAATAATTAAAGGTTTAACAAACTGTGGGTTTGAATAGAGACTGGGAGTGGCTGGGTCATTACACATATTGACTATTTCTCCATGTTAAGTATCCTCACACCTTCTTAAAAAGAACAGGAGTACTTGTGGCACCTTAGAGACTAACAAATTTATTAGAGCATAAGCTTTCGTGGGCTACAGCCCACTTCATCAGATGCATGCAGTGGAAAATACAATAGGATGATTTTATATACACAGAAAATAAAACAATGTGTGTTACCATACACACTGTAACGAGAGTGATCCAAAGAAGTGAGCTGTAGCTCACGAAAGCTTATGCTCAAATAAACTGGTTAGTCTCTAAGGTGCCACAAGTACTCCTTTTCAGTTAAGGTGAGTTATTACCAGCAGGAGAGGAAAAAAACCTTTTGTAGTGATAATCAAGAT